GCGCCTGGCATGTCCTTGCCGACCAAATTAAACGGTGATAATGGGAGCTCCCGGCCGGGAAATTTAATGAACGCACCAACAATATGGCCGACGCGTCCCCCGCTCCCCGGAGTAATTCTATTTTACATTAGGGAGAGAAGCCTTGAGGAACTAGACTGGTTTACTGTGCCTCGCATGCACGGGCCAATCTACGACTTCTTCGACCGAGAGAGCTTAAAGCGAGCATCTCAATCTGCTCGTATTTGATTTACGGAAAGGCAGACTTGACTCCCACAGAAATGGATCTGTTTCTAATTCCCTTCGAGCGTCATCAGACCACGCTTTCAAACATCGATTTCCAGTTCGATCTCCGCCCTGTCAAGCAATTGTTGAAAGTGTGTTGCCTGCGGCTCGTGGGTGTCTGGATGTGTGGTCTTCAAGGAATACGGGGTTTTACAGAAACACTCGATTACGTCACTGTCGTTAAAATCACTGGTTTGGCCTCAGAAAGTTTTAGAGAGGGCCTCCCAAACCGCCGGTCGGTCACATGAAACACTACAGTTTCAATCGTTTTAGAACGGCTGGAAACCACAAGTGAGCCTGTAAAGTACACAGCAACAGTATGACGCAATGAAACTTGGAGACTTCTGCGCTTACATAATTGCCCTGTCACGAGTTACCGAACATGCTGTTAGTAAGCTATTATTGGTTACAGAGAGAGGAACATGCGGGTATAAGGATGACAGTGCATTCTGAAAATAGTATGGTGCTACGAACGAAAGTAAAATATACCGGTAGCTTATAGGGCGCACTGAACCAATTCAAGTTCCATTGAAAATAGTGTAAAATCAACAAAGTTTGGAGCCCCATGGCAGGCAACTGAAGTTCCTGAGGCCTCTCAAACAAAAAACAATGTGTTGTTTGGTCCCTCAGGTTTCATTTGATTTTACATTTTTAGTAGGTTAACCAATGAATTGTTTAGTTATCCGCCAAAACAAACTCACCCCCCAAAAAGTGAATGTTCCCAAGTCTTCTCAGCAGCCATATTTCAAATGACATCCCTCACCTTTCTTGGGGTCTTCTGACAAATTTTCAATCACAATTTTGTCTACTTTGCCCCCAGATGGGTGCCCCTGAATCTACAGAGATGATCCTGGCCTATATACTGACACAATCCCACAATTTCTTGGCCCAAACGGACCCCCCTTTTCGAAAGAATCTGTAGGGGTCCTTCTTAAGCGCCTCGGCCAGGCGGAGAATTTTCCTTGATTTGGGACACTGTACCCTTATAGGCTACGTACAATACGATGGAAGGTACAGAAAGCTGCAATAGTTGTGAGAATATGTCTGAGCATAGTAAATACTGTATGACGAATGAATTGAAAACCCGGTAAAAATGTGTTGCTGAAATGTTTCAAAGACCTGTTTCAGCCATCCGAATCATTTTAATTATCTAACCATAAATTCTTTAGTCTAGACAGAATTATGTTAAAGTACGACTTGCAGAGAAGACAGGTTAATTGGCTGGTAATATTTGGTTTTCATGATTACAATCTAAACCGTTAAACGCATGCCGTTTATACGGGTACAGCCTTGAAAATACATTCGCTTTAACGCACGGAGCGGCCTAAGTAAAATGTTGGGATCGATTCAACGATAAACAAGGCGAATCGCTCGGCCTTGAGAGCGATCTATCGCTTCATTTGAATACATCACAGTTCCATCAGGTAGGACCCGGTAACTGTTTAGTTTCGTTGTGAGCGAATATTGCGCACAGGCAGTAAACATCCATTATGTACGGGCCATTGTCTCGGAAAGACCAATGTTTACTTGTGCTAAACATCATATGTATTAATTTTGTTGAAATTAATTTCTATTCAGTACATTTTTTTCGCGATTATGTGTACAGTGCGACAACTTGTGAGCTGGTACAGACCTTTTTATCACAGTGAGCTAGTTACATTTGGCAACTTGCCGCCTTTTTGTTAAGCTCCGAGCCGTCATTAAGGCGACGCTGCAAGTGAAGTACGCTACCGCTCCTGCCAAGATGTAAACATCTTCATTATTTTGACGTTAACAGAAGAGGATGACCATGGAATAAGTAAAAATAGCTCAATTTCAGTCGTCAATAAGCCTGATTGCTTCAATTTCAGTATCACGCGTGCGTGTACGAAACTTGATTTCCCAATTCCCGGCCTTATTAGATGGTTGACGGCGGTTAGTCTTTTTTTTTTTAATGAATAAAGAAACTGAGTCATCCGTGCATTACATAAGAGCATATAAAGGGAGAAAACGGCTCACAATCATGCATGAATCGACCCGGAATTCTAGCCTTGAATAAAAACGCGCGGCAACTCCAAGGACGTGTTGGAACCGGTTTTTCTCTCTTCGCGGTCGACCTTGCTTGCATGGGCTAAACTTGTGCAAGTATGTTAGACAAATTGTTCCCCGTTTTAACCAACAAACGTAAATCCTAGAAAGACAGCATGTCTATACAGCATGTCTGTACGTTTATAGTCAGGCTCTTCGGGGGGGGGTCCTCACCGTTCTCAGGCCCCCCCCCGCCAATGGTCCTTGGCTACAGCACTGGTCTGCAACCCGTATAGAAACGTTGCCATACTCCACCCACTAATTTCATCTCAAAAAGGGAGGGAAACACACCGCACGGTGCGACTTGATCAAGTCAATAGACGAGGATGAAACAACAGCCAGGCTGGCCTTGTCACACAACAAATACAAGCAGACACACAGCGCATGCGGCGTTTTGGCAAGAAACCGAGACTATCTAGGCAAGGCCACGATAACTGATTCGCAAGGACACAATCTGTCGGCAGCGCGGTAGCTACACGCAAGGTCAAATGGAACATGGAGCCGTGACAGTAACAAGTTTTGTTATGGAAAAATGTGACGAGGAAAGACGCCATTGCATCCATTTTTTTTTGTTCAAGCCAAATAAACCTGCTACTTATCATTTGTAAATTAAACAAGCCACGAAAAACGGGTTGCTTGTGGACAATTCGACAAAACGAGGTCGTCAACACTTTCCCAATGGATTACTTTATCTTGCCAGATAATCAAATGAAGAAGGAATCAATGGACTGGAATTAAAGCCGTGTCATCCGTGGCCACGAGCTTTTATTGTAACTGGATCGGGGAAAAACACAGGATCATAAATAGATTCTAAATTATCGATCGGGGATGGCGACGACAGTGCATGCAGTGGCACTGACATCCGGTGGGAGACGTGTCCATCACTTACACAGTGACGAAGCCCGGATGAACCCCCCCAAAAAAGGCCAGTCGCGCCATAAATGATTATAAATATGTGGACAAAACATTTTAAAATGTCAACCAATGAGGTGAAAATAATAAGTGGCGAAATGTGTCCGTGAAAAATTTGACGGGAAATTGAAATGCGTACGAGGGTCCATTGTTATTTTTAGACTGTGCCTTTACTGTAGTTACACACAGTCTGCGAAGCCAGTCGCGGAGTTTGCAGTGCTTACATCATTCAACCCAGTTATTACATTTTTTTCCTCCCTGTCACTGGCAACCAAGGCCACAATTAACGCATAAGCTCATGCTCGTGATGTGTCATGTGTACAAATACGCCAACGACAACGTGTACATGTTACATGTGCAGCCTTTATACTATATGCCTTCACGGACAGGGTCCGTGACGCCTTGCAACTCTGTGGCATTGGGAAATTCAAAGAGGAAAATCCACTCCCAGGCCAAGTAGGCTGGGCTAGTCTAGACCGCTGACGCAGTTTTTCAGTCACTGCTGAAACTAGACTCTTGTATCTGAGGGAAACCCTTCAAGCATGCACTGATATGCCAATAAACCAGCCCCCCAAAATGTCGGACATCTGGTGTACTGGAAATGTTTTTACAATGTACTACCCTAGCCCAGGTTGGACGCTGTCGCATTTACACTACGAATCGCAATGCAATGTACAGTAGACGACGTCCAAACTGGGCTAGTAGTACTGCCCCTGGTAATGGTACGGTACATACACCACTACCGCATGTACTGTGAAGTTCTACATTTTCCCTTCTAAACAGAAACGCATATCTTAAGACAGCAAACTCCCAGGTAGTGTGCAGATTGTGTCATAGGCACTCCAAGTGGCATCTTGGGAATGATGTCAGCAACCTGATAACACTATGATCACAAACTTACATGTGCCAGGATTGGAAGATCGTTTAAGGCAAAATTTACACTGAACTTACCGCCAGTACCCGGGGGTAATGAAACCAAGGTTGGTCATGCACTGTAATTGCGCATCAGGTCCACTATATATGCAGCAGAGAAGCGGAGAAATACAGAGAATTGCAGCTTTCCACCAACAACTTTCAATTTGTACCCTATCCAACGTGTCGGCCATTTTGTTTGAATTTATGCGCGGGCTAGCTGAACCCAAGTCCGTGGCTGAACCACATTCACTGACTGCTCCCTCTTCCATAAGGTGGAAAGAAAATTGGATCGTTTCGAATTCTGAGCAAGAAATGATAACGTAAATACGTGATGTTGTTTAAAAGGCAAAGCAAAAACAAGCAAACTTCGTAAACACAACTTATTTGGAATTTTGAGAGAATTATACTCACAATAACAGGGGACAAGGGAGGTATGTGGTAATGTTTTCTAAGTCGCGCACGCGCACACTTAAAAAGGAGGTAGGGCGCGTCGCGTTTGGGAGGTCGTCAAAGGCAAGTGCAAACTTTCACCCAATCACAATTCAGGAAATAGAATATGTAAATTGGCCACAACGCAAAAAAGTCTGCATCGCTCGATGAATTGAGCCTTGATTGTTCTGCACGTTTGAGAGACGGTCTCTAGATGGTGAAACCTTTTTTTCCCCTAAAACGAGACCCACCGTTCGGCAACAAAAATGCCTTTTGTTCTCAACTTAAAAAATTTCCCATACTTCATGTAACAATTTGAATCCTCCGACCATGTAGCCACTAGTCCCACTCAAGTTGCGAACACGTTAAGTGAAACATAAAAATGCAACGTACAATTCTTTTGTTCATACAGTTCTGTTGTCTGACTTTATTTTTATTTACCAACAACACAATAAAGATTAACAAGGATAGGTAGACACAAAGAATTGTTGTTTGCACAAAAGGTGAACCAAGTCCATTGTAATTAAGTCATTATTAATTTTTCCCCCAAACAAGTGGCTCCTCTTTTTTGTTTGGCCATAACATCACAAAGCATTAAAAAAAAAACACACAAAACAGCTTCTCTCTTGTTGAGACGTTTTCAATATATTATTTGAGATCGTGTAAGTCTTGTTGATCTAATACTACATATTTACAAAATCTTACAAACCTGGAAAATTGATGATTACCTTAAATCTTCGAGAACAGTGTGTTTCTTATTGAAAGGACCCTGGGAAATATCTGAGCACTAGTAAACTCAGACAAGACATGAAAATGAATCGACTGCATCGTTATTACGAAGCGTGTGTGTATGAAAACCTCGCAATCTTCGTGTAGACCTAGACCTAAGGCAGGTCCACACAATGCAGGTTGTGTGAGCCTTCCGTGGACCCAGCCAGGTCCGCACAAGGTTTTCCTCTCCCTGAAAATCGGATTTGGGGACATTTAAGGGTCAGATTATCTTTAGCAAAAGGAAGAGGAATAGTCAAGGAAACCATCAACTACAACCAAAAAAACCAGCTTAAAAATAGTGTTCACCGTTCAAGAAAAAAATGGGCATTTTCACCAAATTTTCTTCGCGACACTAGAAGACAGAAATGCGCACACTAGATACGCAACGCTAACATGGGTAGGAGGGTGTGTGTGTGGGGGGGGCTTCTTTCGGTCAACCCTCAATATTTGTTTCGAGTTGGGTAAGTTGGTAATCAACACTCAAGATAATAAAAAGAGACAACCGAAGTGTTAGAAACACTCCAAACAGAGCAACCACTGTCAGTCTCTTGCAGCATGCAGATCAAAATTAGAATTTTCAAATTAGCCAAACCAGTTTCTTTTTCTGGACGGCCATTACATAAGGTGGACCTGTTTATTAAAATAAAAGATCTGACCGGATGACTAAAAGGGCACTTCCCGAAAGTGCCAGGAACTCTAGATAGGTGTATTTGTACAACAGTCCCGAAAAACAGAAGTAAATTGGATGACAAAGTGAAAGTTACAAATATATCCAGTCATTCATGAGGAAGGACGCAAACAACTTTTCTCTCTTGGACGTATTTACAGGCAAACACAAGACGTCTTTACAACGGGAGCGAAAACGTAAACGCATATCTTCGGTTTAAATATTTATACACTATAATATGTGTTCCCTTATTACAGCTACAAAATAATAAACAAACAGTATTTCAGTGAGGCTCGGCTTTTTAACAACAAAAATATCTTCTCTGACCTTATCTTTCTGATTAAGCGCTTATAACATCACCTTTTTTTCCAATCCCTTCTCTTTCCCTTCGCTTGGAAAAAATATTGTTCTCTGAAGCAAACAACGATATTTCAGTAGAAGACATGCACTTTTCGTAAAATTCGGCTGTCAAGGACAAAAATTCGGCGCAACTCAACCAACGAATTTTAAATCAGCCTTGGGAATCTACTCCACTATACTGTTACAAGAAACACAGAAAATAAGACAACACTCAGAAGAATTTTCGCTTCTTCTTTTTTTTAAACTAACACTTTTCCGATCATAAATTAACGTGACTAATTACAATAAATACTCCGGGTCTATAAATTACCCCAACACTTCCTCTCTCTTTTTTTTTTTTACATCGTCCCCTCGGGAACCGTTCACAACTTAATACTTTTTTTTTTTGAAAACAACTTTCCAGCTGAATCGTTTCAAAGCATCGCACTCCTTTTTGAATTACTAATTCGAAAGAAAACAAATTGACACGAGAGATTCTGAGCTTCTTTGTGACATTTGGTACGTGAATTTGCAACAATGATCTTTGAAACACGTTGAGGTCGATTTCTGTAAGTTCAGAACCCCAGTCTTTAATTTTCCGAGAGTGATTAAGTAATGCAAAAAGTGACCCACCAAAGAAATAGAAAAAAAAAATAGTTGAAATCAATTTCAGTGATAAATCCTTTGTCAAATTAAACAGATCAGCTGTGAAGGGGACCGGAAAAATGACACACGTCGGACCTTAAATTTGTAGCGTGACCCATACTGGTACAATTCGTTTTAATAATTACATGTATTGGCAATACCATCTAAATACTACCTGTACCATTTACCTTGATTTGTATGGGGTTGTCATGGTAACGCAGGGTGAATTCCTTTGTACATGGACAAGGCATAAGTGTTTCCAGTTCTTCCCAATTACAAAAAAATATCACTAGCAAGACGGAAACTGCATTTAAAATCAAGCACTATTCGGCTGACAACGAGCTGCAAAGACAGATTTGCAAAATCTGAAAACAATCAGAAAAATCTTGTTTTCTTTTCCCCTTTAAACTCTGAACGGCATCTCTAGAACTAGATCACTTCAGACTGAGTAACACACAACCAGGTATCGCCTAATTTCATCTCGAGACATTACTTATTAAGTGCCCTCAATGTATCACACATCTCACCAAGACAACACTGACTTTAAGCCATCAGAAAAAAAATAGTAATGGACCAAACCAACGCGCACACACGGCACACAAAACACGCTAAGCATCTTTTAAGAAACTCCAAATAGTTCAAACCTCTGTACAATATCGCTCGACTTGCTTACAGATTTAGGTGGGAGAGAGATACACATTACTGTACAGTTATATGGCAGCCTATCAACCGATGGCCCAACTGAATAAATAAAACTCCATCTGACATCACCAGTATGCATAGATTTGAGACGACAAATTTCCACCAAAAAAAAAAGAGAGAGAGGTCCCCCATCTATTACTTTCCATTAAATAAAAAGGAACTGCAATTTTGAAGTGAGATATCTGAAACAGCAGCTGCTCTTTTGGACTTTTTGGTTTTCTTAAAGATGAACTGTAACATCTGAATCCTTCCACAATTTCTTGTCATTATCTGAGATTCTGAGGAAAATCTTTCAAAATCCCAAATCTCCCACCTCCAAGTCGGTAATTCTAACACATCCTGTCATACTGGCATTATTTTTTTGTTGAATTTTCAAAGCCAAGAGGATGATTACAGTTCTGTGAACGACCAGTTTTTAGTTCTTGTTGTCATAAAATGGACTTACAGATATGCACACCAGAAGCCTGGAATTGGGGGGGGGGGAATACATGTAGGTCCCCCACCAATGAGAAGCTTGACAAAAAAGGTGGGATTTTCGAGGGAAATTGCTTGCCAACTGAGAAACGGTGACATGCATGGTCTCCTTGCATTCACATGTATGATAGAGGAAGTCACATAGCACTGATGGTGGAATCAAATTCAACTTAGATTTGCAAAAACAAACAAACAAACAAACAAACAAACAAACAAAATAAAAACGGTATTCCAACGGTGTTCCACAGGAGAAGCCAAAATATAAGTGATCATCTAATGTCACCGTTCATTAAGACTTATCAAGTTTCTGTGAAATTGAATAAAAAAATAGTTGATGTATGCAATGGGTGGTTTTGTGTTACATTATTTATTACGACTGTGCGATACAATTTTTCTGCTCACTATTTAACACAGACTGGCCAACCAGTCACTCTATAACCCTTGGTAAATGCAAGAGAGTCAACCTGCTTTTACACATAAAATATGAATTCACTCTGTAGTCTGTACACATTTGTATCATCTGTTTGTTTCTTTTTTTTTTCCTTTAAATCTATTATTCAAGTAACAAATGTTGGTCATTAAACTCGGTGGCTTCAGGTGGGTGTACTCCAATGAGTTTTGAACTTGGCACACCTTGGGTTTGTGAGGATTTTACCTTCCAGTTGCGACAATTTTTTTTCTCAATCTACCGAGCTATTGCCTTCAATTATTTATTTATTTTAAGAGGTCGCAGGAACCGCAGACCTTGCAACAGGAAGTGACAAAATCTACCGATCCACTCTTTACATTTATGCACCTCTCCCTTTTATACAAAACTACAAAGGGTGAGAGTCTACGGCTCTGTGGAGAAACATAAACCACAGCACCTGACTAGAGTTCAGGACTTGGGCACTCACAGCGAACCATGTGTAACAATGCACAAATAACAAGTCACTTTACAAACCTCGTCTGTGGCAAACACGGCATTATGTATACAGAAGTGCAACTGGGGGATTGGGAAAACAATAAATAAATGACCAAACCCAAGTTGGCCCTTGCCAATGCACACTGGAATACTTTGGATTTTGTGGCCGTCTGACCGAGGACGTGCAGAGGGGCCCCAGACCGAGGGGACACCGCATGGTTGTCCTCAGTGTGCCGTCATCATCTGCTCCAGCAGGTCCTCCATGGGCACGCCACCAATCAGCTCGCGGAAGAACAGCTGGCTGATGACGCGGGAGCGGATGTTGCGCAAGGGGGGAAGACTGAGCAGCACCCGGGCGAAGCGCAGGGGGTCCCGAGGCCGCGTGGCCGCCACGTACTCGCTCAGTCGCAGCTGGGCCTCGCTCTGAAGAGTCTCCACCATAGCTGGGTCTACCAAGCCTGGAATATCTACAGAAAATAAACATGACCAAAATAAAGAAGAGAAAAGGTCCATCAATGATCGTATATTTTTCCTTTCTTGAAAAGTACCTCAGTCAAATCATGCTACAAGCTGCTTCCAAGGAGAAAGAAGCAACATCCAAACAACAAAGCAAACAAAAAAAAACAAAAGGTCCAACATTTCAGAGTGCAGATTGAAGATCATATTTTGGTGGAAAATCTCTTCTTACAAAACCTTTAGCATTTTGAAACAAAGTTAATGTCAAGTTGAAAGAAGCTCAATTGATTCTTGCAGCTCTTGCATCCAGGAACATTATTTTTAGACTTTGTCTATCAAAATGTCCCGTGTTGTTCAGTGTGTTCCTGCATGTTTTCCCATTATGTGAAACCCTGGCTATGTCAGTGTGCTCATCTGTTGACTGACTGTCGCCGCTTAAAAAAGCATACAGAGCGGCACTCCATTATTGCTGGGGGGGGGGAGGAGGGCCAATCATACTTGTTGTGCCTAATTAGGCGTGGTGCGTACTGTGACTAATTAATTTCGAGTGATTGGGGACAAGGAGAAGCCACATGCGGGTCCGCTCCATTGTTTGCTTTGCGAGGTTCCGTGTATACGCTCGACGGAGCAAGCTGCATGGCTCCGTTTGCACGTGAAGGCCAATCAAGAAATTTCAGGGGGCACAGATTTGCCGATGTGGTTTTTATCCTCAGCCGTTTATCATAACATTGGAAACATCCGTAATTTTCTGATCCACACTGACTACAAATATCAATTCAAACTCCCCCGACATGTTGGTTCCAGATCTTCCTGAATTCTACAATAAAAATCATGTGCAGGCACTTAACAGTAAACGAGTTTATCTTTCATTTTTTTCAGTAACAGTAGCCAGGCTCGACCTTCCTAAATTCTCCAAACTGTCCCAAATCCTCAAGAAAGAATTTTAAGGGGGGGGAAACCAAACTGGATGCCAATCATCTTCTGAACTCATGTGACCACACCAGATGAAAAAAAGGGTGCGTACATTATATATTTGTTTTTTCCCCCAAAAATCAAAATAAGGAATAATCCATGATCTTTTTTTTTACCCAGAAGGTAGATGTTCTAATCCTTTCTCTAAAAAAATACATAGGAAAGTCAGATTCAATTTTGTTTTATTTCTCTTCAGACTGAAGCAGAACGTTAAACGGATGAGGCAATTATTGAACTCATTGCTGGTGACTCAAAATTACTGTCTTGTTGGCTACGGCTAAAACAAACATATGCTATTTAAATTGAAATCGTTTTTTTTTTTCAACAGTATTATCCCCTCAAGGGTCTCTGACCCTGAGCAGAAATCATCCTCTGATTAAGATTACTAAACCCCTACGGTTTTTCCCTCCCTTCAAATCAAGGCCCAACCTGTTCTAGCCAACTGAGACACAAACCCACACACGCCCAGCTTACTCATGCTTGAGTGAAAAAGCACAAACATTCGTAGTATTGACAATATAGAACCAATACATACATGGAGGAACCAGAACAGAGGACAAGCCAAAAAAAAAACTCCCCAAAACACCCCCCCCCAAAAAAAACCCTGGATGCAACAACCGGTAAATCAATGCCACAGCTGTGCATCCTGCAATGCGATTGGCTGCCCGATTGGCTGCGTGGGGCCAGCCTCAGATCAGCAAACCAATCGCACCACAAGCACGAGCACAGGAGACCTTGCTCTGATCAGAACAGTGACATTACCCAAACGATTTTGGGTGGGTGTGGGGGGGGGGAAGAACAGACAGGGAATGAAAACAACACATGGCCCAACTCTCTCTTTCAAGGACGCTCCAGACATTCAAGGACAACCGAGCCTGCCAAGGTCATTACTATTAGTTGCAAGCCCAGGTTTACAACAAGGACAGATGTTGATTACAGCCCAGGGAGAAGAGATAAAAAAAAAAGAAACAAAATAAGAGCTGTCTGATTTCCAGGCAAGGCCAACTCACTTGTGCTTGTCATTACCAGCGAGGCCATCCACTGTTTTCAGCGCCAGTGAAATCAACCCTGAAAACCTGCCATTTATTCTGGGTTCTGTCTTTGTAATCAAGAAGCAAGCTTGGACAAAAAACGGTTCTTAAACATTTTCTAACGTTAATATTCATTTTTGTTACCAAAGTAAACATTTGGTCCCGAACAAAAAAATCTCCGCACCGAACAACATAAACATGCAACAGAAACCAACTCAATCAAATGAACTGCCTCCAACTTAAGTTTTATTTCATTAAATATCTTTAATGCATTTCATTTTTTTCTGTAAATATTCACATGCATCCCAACGATTTTCTTATAAATCTTATGTTATGTATGGAAACCGCAGTGGGCATATAAAAAGTAAGTGTTTGTCCATGAGGCAACTCCAACGAAAAAGATACATGCAAAATGCCGGGTCCAAGTCCAGTGCAACAAGAGAAAGCGAAGGGAAGGTGACTGGCAAGTTCGGTGTTCATCAACTGAAATGCTTCAAACTGAATTTGAGACATAATAATGAGTAGATTTCATCCACGGAACAGAAATTCTCTACAAATGATCTTTTCAGAGATCGTTAAAAAGGTGCTCTGCATCAAATGGAAACATTTTTCTGGGTAACAGCCACGTTTGAATTGGATGCCTCGTACGATTACAGATGATTGCTCTCTTGTGTTAAAAGCCGTTAGAAGATACAAACGAGAATGATGTTGACATAATACTACAGATAGGAACATTCATGTGGAACAGAATAGACGGGTGTCGGTGAAAACAGTCACTAAAAATATCTCCGTCTTATGAAAATCGGCAATGCAAGCCTGAACGCAAGCTGCAGAATCTCTCGAGTGCCATAAAAGCCCAGATTCTGTGCACGTAGGCCAGGATAGAGTCCCACTGAAATGGTGTGCCCGCACTGAATGGACCCACTCAACCAAAGTGCTGGTATTTTCAGATGGGGCTGCCATTTGGACAGAGCGGCATTTATTGACATGTACCAGCTCCTGATTCTGCTGTGGTTGACAGCACTGTAAAATTACAAAAGGCGAACGTGTCTAGAGACATACATTGTAGACAGTGGCACAGACAGGTGCATTGTAAATAAGGTCTTTGTAACAATTTGCACAAAAACTTGACAAGTTCTCTTTACCTTTTTCAAAATGACAAAACGGTGCAAGCTGTGAGGTCCAATGTGCCTGTGTAACAAACGTAGTATTCTCTAACGGAACGCTTGCCGGGGAGAACATTCTCCACAAGGTTTTCAACTGAGAAATATTAACTTTGGAGAAAATGCCAGGCATTATCACTGTGAGCACGGACATGATTTGCGTCAGGAGCTGAACCACGCCAAACAAAAACTTCAACCAAAAACACCACACAACAAACGGCGCCCGTCCCTGGCACCCAAATCAAGACCAACAAACTAATCATCTTTTTACCATATATACACGTATACACATTCTCCTTCCATAAATTTGAATGAAAATACTCCATCGAACACATTCATCTTAAAAATGTCACTGAAGTGGTGGGGCTGTTGCTGCTTTAATTTGATCAATAAACCAATAAATAATGATAAATAAATTACATGTACATACTCTTCTTAAGAATGTTGGTGAGAGTCACTTATAAACTGTCTCTGTACGTGACCCAGCTACTACGATTGCACGGCTTGTTTCTTCGACTCCTCAAGAAGGATCTTCAGTTTGCTTTCCCGGGGGCTGGGCAGGCCGTTCAGACAGTGGGGGCTGGCACAGGCATACGGCGTGCCGTTGTAGTAACTGTCTGTGAGCAGGCGGTACAGGATGGAGCTCTTGGAGTCTATTTGGGGACAGTGACAGCTGGGGTTGGCGCGGTGGACGGCGGACCACTGCGTGGTAGTGGCCGCGGCTGCCGCAGCCCGAGCCACCATCTTTGCCTTGCTCTTGGAGGGCTGGACCAAGTTGAGGGGCTGACTGGACTCAGCGTAGGCCTCGGACATGATGTACATCTCAGGAGGGGGATTCAGTGGTACGCTTCTTCCTGAGGAAACACAACGAAAATGGACGACCAATTCTGCTCAAGTGCATGTACGAGCTGCTGGTGATCCAGTCACACGCTCTCTTCCTCTGTGAACAGAATGGCAACTGTTAGGCTCTTTCAGCTGCAGAGTTAGCCGACAGACTGGCTGGAAGTTATCCTGGTGTGTTAATGGTTTGTGACAGAATTACTGAATGACGCACTGAAGATTGGCCAGCACACAGGATGCAGGGCACTGTTTCCAAAAGTACAAAGGCAGAACAAAGCTGGTTAAAAAACAAATCAGTCAGCAAAGGGTCGAACACACTCCCTGGTTAGACGCGGTTCTTCATCTCCCTTGGCACTGACAAGACGAGTGACAACACAGTAGAGAAACACTGGCACGACACTGCCCACGTGTACAGCAAGCCCAGCACAAAAGGTATCAGGGCTAGTAAGACAGCATTACCAGAACAAGCCCGTCAGCGCAAAGTCCTGGCGAGTAGGACTGGTGGATCGGGTTATGGTGCAATACTTGGTAGTGAGCCAGGTAATAAGCCACGGAATGCATCACTGTTATCCAATGAGAGGCTCTGTAACCACGGACGGCTCGGTTCCTCCATATGCATGCCCGGCTGACCTTTTGTGTTTCAGACCGAGGGGGATGGCCTTGATGAATTATTCATCAGTTTTCTGGCTGAACTAGATCCACGGATCCACCCATGTGTAACAGGACTTTCAGGGGGAAACTGTTGGCACAATGAAGTGTGTAAAACCACAGTGTAATACTTGCTTGACTGAGGCTCCCCATCTGATTGAGTAACCTAATCTCAAGGTGACATTCACCAGAGTCCTAAGTCTTTCCAGCAAAAATCCTGGTCATGGGAGATCATTTGCATGATAATCAGAGTCTGGGCCTTGGGGACTGTAACAATTAGGGACACTGTCCAGCCACCACTGTGGGCAGTGCCATTCATCTCCTGGCTCACCTTGGCAACAAGTCGTCCCTGAAGTC